TTTTAAATGTAATATGCATTCTTCATTATAAATCCTATGTTCTTTGTAGAAACACAGGTTACAGAAAAGGCAAGAAAGAGCTGGGCGTGGTGGGGCATGACTGACACCAGCACTCTGGGAAGCTGAGCAGGAGGATTGCACGTTTGAGCCCAGCCAGGCAACTTAGCAAATTAATGAGACCCTATCTCTACATAAAGAAATGAAAAGTTCAAGGAGGGAAGTCCCTCCTCTCCTCCAGATGGCGCCCTCGGAGCCCTCCTCACTGTAGTACTTTGTAGCTGTGGTCTCTACTGGTGCCAGTCCCCCTTGGGCTGTGCCAGAGCAGAAACGAGGACTGGAACCTCAGTGCAAAGGCTTTGAGTGCAGTCCCCAGTACTGGGGGGAAAAAGATCCAGTCTAATGCTGTAGTATGACACTGTATTTCATTTTTATGACTAATATTCCATTTTATGGCTGCACCATATTTTGTTTATCTCTTGATGGACATTGGGTTATTTCCATCTTGGGGCTCTTGTGAATAATGCTGCTATAAATGTTCATATAAAAGTTTTTGTTTGGTTTGGGTTTTTTGAGACAGTGTCTCACTATGTAGTCTAGCTAGGCTTTGAACTTGCTATGGAGTCAGACTGGCCTGGAATTGTGATTCTCCTGTCTCAGCCTCCTGAATAGCTGGGATTACTGGTGTGTGCCACCATGCCCAGTGTGTGTGTGTGTGTGTGTGTGTGTGTGTGTGTGTGTTCACATGCTTCACTCTCTGAATAGCGTCCTCAGAAGTACAAACGCTTTTCATTCTGATGAAATTCCATTTATCTGTTTTGTCTTTTGTTGCTTGAGCTTTTGGTGTCATACCTAAGAAATCACTGCTTTAGCCAAGGTCATTGTTTTTTTGTTTTTGTTTTTGTTTTTTTGTTTTTTGTTTTTTTGTGGGTTTTTTTGGTACCAGGGATTGAACTTGGAATTTTGTGTTTGTGAGGCAGGTGGTGGAACCACTGAGCCAGATCCCTGACCCCAAGATCATTAAGTTTTACCTTATGTTGTCTTCTGAGAGATTTATGCTTTTACCTCTTATTTTGCTTTGGGATTTTTATATAGTGTGAGATAGGGGTCCAACATTAGCTGTCCTGGCACTATTTGTTGAAAAGATTATCCCTCCCCCCCAAAAAAAAAAAAGAGAAGAAAAGGTTATTCCTTTCTGCACTCAACTGTGTCATCCTTGTTGAAATCAATTGTCTGGGCTGGGGATTTAGCTCAGTGGTTCTGCTGCCTGCCTTGCAAGCTCAAGGACCTGAGTTTGATCCCTGGTACCAAAAAGAGAAAGAAAAGGAAAGAAAGAAAGAAAGAAAAGAAATTAATTGTCCATCACTGTCTAGGTTATTCCTGGACTTTTCATTCTATTCCCATGATCTGCATAGTCTGGTTTTGAAAGATATTACCATCAGAGGACACTGGGCAAAGGGTACCAAGAGCTCTACACATTATCGCTTATAACTTCATGTAGATCTATGAGTATCTCTATAAAAATGTAGTGTTAAAAATTAATATAGAGTATTTTAAATTATCTCCTATTCCCAAGGGGAAAAATTTTAGGTGTATAAAATTTCCCTTCCCTGCAATGTTCTCTTGTGCCCGCTAGGGGGCACCAACTCTCTTTCCCGAAAGTTTTGCTGCAGCAGAACGTGAAGAGGCCCAAGCCCCCTTGTCTGGCTGCCCATGAGTGACCCAGGGCCTAACCTAGCTGCCCCTGGATGTAACAGGGAGACTCAGGGCCACTCTCGCTTTCGGCACAGTTTTCCAATCCTATAAAATGATTCCAAGGCTCATACCCACTTTAGAAGCCCCTCAATTTACTGAGCACCACTGTTGTGTAACACTTGGAAAACACAGCATGAAAAATAGAGCCCATGCAGTGTAAGCTATGATGAATAAAACTTAGGACTGGGATGTGGCTCATTGGTACAGCACTTACTTAGCATGTGAAAAGTCCTGGGTTCCATCCCTAGCAATAAATAAATCAGACTTTTTTAAGGATAAAATAATGAATGTGGGCTGGGCGTGGTGGCACACACCTGTAATCCCAGCCCTTGGGAGGCTGAGGAAGGAGGATCGCTGTGAGTTCGAGGCCCTGGGCTTACATAGTGAGCTCAAGACCTCCCTAAACTGCATAGTAGGACCCTGTCTCAAAAAGGAAGCAGGTAACGAATATAACCCCACTTTGTGCTAGGCCAGTGCTCTACCTTTGAGCTATGTGCCAGCCCACCAGTAATGCTTCTAAACAAGAAATGAGTCACCTAGTGGCCAGGTGTGGAGGTGCACAATCAGGAGTGCTGGGATTGTAATAGTTGAGTTGGTTGGAATAGTTGTGACCATTTGGAGCAAGGATGTCATGATGCAAGCGCTGGCGTTTCTCAGGGACTCACAGGGGACAGGACTCTGCATGTACTTTATCCCTACCTCATCCAGAGAAAATGGCAGGGAAACATCTCTGTGCTGTTTACTTCACAAAAACTGACTCTCTGGGAGACTGTGTCCATTGCTAAAGGACATATGGCTGCGGAAGGACAGACTGTCTTCACACCTAGATTTCTGGGTTTAATTTTTTTTTTTTTTTTTGCCAGCTGAGGTGACCCATGCCTGTAATCCCAGTACTCAGGAGGCTGAGGCAGGAAGATTGCTGTGAGTTTGAGACCAGCCTGGGCTATGTAGTGAGTTCAGGACCAGCCTTGACTACACAGTGAGACCCTGTCTCAAAGAAAAAAAATCAGTTTAAAAAATTTAGTTTTTCAGTTTTTTGAGACAAGGTCTCACTGTGTTTTTTGGCCTGGCCTAGAATTCTCTGTGTAGCCCAGGCTGGCCTCGAATTCCTGGCAATCCACCTGCCTCAGCCTCCTGAGTGCTGGGATTACAGGTGTGTATCACCACACCTGGTCACTGGGGTGACTTTGATTTCTTGTTCAGAAACATCACTAGTGGGCTAGGGACATAGTTTAAAGGTGGACCACTTGCCTAGCACATGACTGGGTCAATCCCTACCATTGCAAAATAAAACCCAAACCATCTTTAGGCAACTATTATATGTGCCACTTGGCTTGGAAGAGAACTAAACCAGAGTTGCGGGTGGCTTGGTGTGATGACACATACCCACAGTTCTAGCTACTCAGAAGGCTGAGGCAGGAGGATCGCTTGAGCCCAGGAGTTTGAGGCCAGCCTGGACAACAGAGCAAGACCCCATCACGCTTTCTGTGTTTTTTTTGTTTTTGTTTTTGTTTTTAATCTTATTGAGTTTATTGGTACTTTTAAAGTATACAGTACAGTTACATTCATCATTGGGATCTATACATCATGAGAGATCTATGTTTGTGTTTTAATTTTTAGTTTGGTTTGGTTTTTTGAGACAAGATCTTACCACGTAGTTCAGGCTGGCCTTAAACTCACTATATAGCCCATGCTGACCTCAAACTCAAGGGGAATCCTCTTGCCTCAGCCTCTTGAATGCTGGTATTTCAGGCTTGTTCCATTATGCCCGGCCTGTTTGTTTTGAGACAGTCTTGCTCTGTGATACAGTCTGGCCTTGAACTCCCTATGTAGTCCAGGCTGGGCTGGAATTTACCATC